ATTATTAGTTAATAAATAAACAGAACAATGATATGCTTACTCATTTAGCGAAAAAATATATTGCATATATTTTAAAGATAAATTCATAAACTGCAACTTTAATTAATGCTGACACTAATCTATGTGACGTCGGCTAAATGAGCTGTTGGTGTTTATTTATGATAGAATATGGTACTATAATTTAGAAATGATGCATAAGAATAATGTGTTAAATCATTTTTGAAATCGATTGGTTTTAAAAATGATATTGGGAAAAAAATGATGAAATTGTAATTTTTTCAAATCAATAAAGATTAAAATCAAAAAATGTCAACAGCAAACAAAACATATTAACAATCCATTTCAACTAGGAAAAAATCTTTGTAATGGGCGTGAAAATAAAGCAATTCTTCAAAGATTTGTTTAGAAAAAAATATAGAAGTTACTAAAGTTGTATATAAGTAAATACAATAGTTAGCCAGCTAGTATTTGAGTTATATATTAGATTTTTTTAAGTGTCAAACGCTTTTATTTAATGTTCAAACCACTAATTATTAAGGTCATTTGAGAAATTGCATGCCTTATGAATTTAATCCTGTGATCGTTGAAATCGTTCAATAACGTAGATTAAAGTTTAAATTTCATCTATTAATAAATTTAACAAAATCGAGTTCAAATAATTTTATATTTCTAAACTTTTATAAAGCCAAATTATTTACAAAAAAGAAATTTTTGATAAAGAAAATGATTAATAACAGAAAATTTATAACTATGTATAATCTAAATTAAACAAGATTAGGTGATTCGCTATTATTTAGAGATTGGAACCGATCAAAAAAACTTTTATCGATCAAAAGATCGGTCAAATTTCATGAAATTTAGTGATATAAATTAAGACTTCTAACCCACACAGTATGTATAAAGTTTAACCAGTTTAACTGTTCATAAATTTTATGCCTGATTAATTGGATATTGATCGGCTAACCGGTTAACTGTTGTTGAATGGCTCCAATCTCTATTATTATTGGCTATCGGGAAAAGTGGTAATTCGAAATATGAAGTTTCTTTAGTAAGTAATTGAGCCATTGCTGTATACCACGCACAAAGAGTTGCTAGCACTTTAAAAGAAGAAAAATTTATTACTAATAGCAATATAAGATTTACTGTAATAATAATATTTTTAAATTTCATACCTCCAAAACATCCACCAATGCGAGAAAAAACGGCTAAACCAGTAAAATTAGCAATGTCAAGAAAAATAAAGACAATCAATACAAGTGATAGTGTTGAAATTTCTAAAATCGTAGTCCTTAAGGAGGCAATTAACATTAACAATGTAACTATAAATAAAAAATTGAGAAAAAAATTAGACAAATTGATGAAACAAAAATAAGATACGATAAGATTAAAAGAAAATACTAACAAATAGTCCATACGGTAAGATAAATTCCGATGGCGTTTCTAAGCATCACTTGATCATTTTTAAATGAATCAATGATCCCAGAACTTGGTAGATAAATGAATCCAAAAGAGATCCAAAAACCACCTACGAGGAAAAGAAGATACAAATTTGAAACGAATCTGATATACCGGCCGGGGCGTTATTTTGAGCCATGGCCCGAATTAAGCCTTATTTAGGCCGAAATTCGAAATTACACCCCTGCATGCAAATACAGTAAATAATTTTAAACATACCATACGAACAAAAAATAGTAGCGCCGAGAGTTTTGCCAGAAAATAATCCACATATTCCAGAAAGTACTTGAATAATACCACCATAAAATAAAGCGGAACCAAGTCCAACTTGATGATTAGTAATATTTGCTATTTGAATAAGATACAAAGAATATATGAGTTGTGTAGTTCCGAATGCAAATAGTCCTAATG